GAAGCTGCCAAAGAAAAAAGGAAACAAGAAAAAAAGCAAAAGAAAGGTTAGGATTTTTAGTTTCCTTGCTGACACTAATGTGGCGTGAACTGTATCAAAAGGAACAACAGTAACAAACCTTAAAATCTGTAACAGTTGAAATATTTTTGTTGTGACATAACAACATACTTGCATTTGCTGGAATTCTACTCTTTCAGATTGGAGATGCTGAATTACACTGCACTGTTTCAAAATCCAAATTTTTAATCAAAGTTTCATGCTAATCAATTTTGTTGGAGATATTAGGACAAGTTGGATAATACAACAGCAGATTTTTCTTTCCAGTTGTGAAGGCTAATGGAAAAATTAATTCTCCTTTAATAGTTTCTTCTTCAGAATCATAGTATAAAGTTAAATGTTTTGTGTATTTTGAAGGATGGGTGTTAAGGAAGTCTGTGCTAAGGAGGTTGTTAGCTCCATAGACAATTGGGACCATGGTAGGTTTTGGCTGGGCTGTGGCTGGTTATGATAGTATTTACAGCTGGTTATCAGTCATACGAGAAAATAAGAAACAAAAATTAGTAATTTCAGTAGATATCTTTGGCTTTCAACAAGGCCTCTTTCCTTCCAGAATTGCTATGACCCAAGCCCTACTTAGCAGAATGCGAGCAAAAAGTCATTTAACACTTTTTTTCTAAAAAAAGAAGTTACCTGAGAAATAAAGTTGTAATTGCTGATTCTTTTCTGTACAGTCAGGTTAGAAAATCTGGGATGACTCATTTAAGCTAAAGTTCATTGTGGTCAACTGTTAATTAGTAAAGAATTTCTTCAATCTGTTATGTGCATAAGTACTTCTTACGTAATCACATAAATACCTTTTTTTCTTACAGAACACCTGTATTCCCCATTTAATTAGCCTGCAGCCATTCTTTGAAAGGCTAACCACAGTGTCAGTAAAGCATATTTGAATTGGAAGTTGAAATAGAGTCCTACTCTGCTCCTTTATATATTAAAAAGAACTGTGGTAAAATTGTGGAGAAATTAATGAGAGCTTTGTGTAGGGTTAATTTCAGAATAATCTTACAGAAGTTTAAGCAGAACTCTTACATCTTTGGCCTTTTTTTGTTGAAGCTTGCTTAAGCTAATCACTTCTGTAACTGATGCAGTTTCTTAGCGTTTATTATTCTTTCAGAGGAAAAAATGGTTTACTTGCCAGTGAGTTCTGTGTTTACTGGTGATGAGTTTTCTCTTTTGTCTAGATGAAGCACAACTAGAAGAGGCTGGTTCTACAAGTGAAGAACAGTCAGCTCCTGGCCCAGATGCTACCAAAGAAGCAGATCCAAATCTGTGGATCCAGACTGACCAAACAGAAGAAACTGAACTTACCAAAGAGGCAGAAGCACGAGCTCCATGTCCTGACAGCCCACTGGAAAGTGAGACTGGCTTAGCTGACATTGCTCTTCAAAAAATTCAGGATTCTGAGGAATAGGAAAGCTGGGAAGGGGCTGAGTGTTCTGGTCAAGTCCTTCTACCCTAGCAGTCAAAGAATTTTTTTATGCTGACCATGTCTGAGTTCTTTACAGCATGGCTTTTGCAAGGCTTCCTGTAAATGACAGCATAGCTTTGTTCATCTTGAGATGAAATACTGGCTAGTTTGTCTTCAGGTTCTGTTGTAGATTGTAAAAATAGATATTTATTATCTGATGAAAACTAGAGTGACATAAATCCAGCTATATGTATACCAACTGTAAGCGTAGTAAAATCTATGAGTGTCTGGTCAAACAGCCACTTAAGTTTGGGAGCATTCATGGTTTCAGAACCTGAAAATTATTTTAAGTATAATTTTTAAGACTTTTTTTTTCTGCGAGTACACAGAACTACAGCTAAAAGTATTGGGAAGCCAGAACCCCTTTATGATTCTTTATTTAAAAGAATTCAGTAGCAGTTAAGCTTCTGAATATACTCATCTGAATTCTCAAATTTTCTTGAAATTACTGTAAATATTTTTGACTAGTAAGTACGCAACAATAGTGTCTGTTTGGTGGCAATTTCATTAAGTGATACAGCTGTTTTATAAGTCTCAGAGTGACTGTGAAATGTGTGTGTTTCAAGAGATTAATTTCATTATTTATTTGCTCAAATATATTCCAAGGTTATCAAAGTTAAATGAAGGGAACACCAGAAGGATTTTAACTATTTTGAACGTTACAAATAATGGTTTCTAGATCTCTGCTTTCTGGTAAAGATGCCTTAGAGCACACTGGGATGTATATGAATGATTTCATAAACATATGAGATGTTTAATATTTTACACGCTGAACCTGATCACAATTAAATGGGACCATTTATAAACTACAATTGATAAATTGTATCAAGGTCATTTATTGATACTATTGATGTTTCACATTGGCTTTCAACTGAATACTATAACGTAAAAAGCAGCATCCCTTAACTGTTCTGTTTTCACTCAGTTTTACATTTTCTCATGAAAGAAGGGAATGTCATGACCTAAAATACTACTTGCTGCATAAAGATGGTAGAATTTTATATTCTTCAGTTGTTGGATGAATAATGTGTTTGGAATACAGCAATGTCCTTCAACATAGAGGAATAATTAAACCATCTTCCATATAGAGGAAAAATGCTATTAATTTTTTACTATTTAATATATTGAACATTTTTGTTTATTATTCTTAAAATTTTAAGAGGATGCATAAATGCAGGGAATGTACCTTTTGTATGATCAAGAGCATTTTCATTTCAAGAATTAGAAGAATAAAATATGAATAATAAAGGGAAAGTTTTCAAAGATGAGAGCTGAGTGGCAATTATTGCATCTTTAATGCCTACCAGGTCATTGTGATGTTCCCACTTGAGATCTATGGGCTTCCTGTAGCTCAAATGTACAAGTAGAGGGCAGAAAGCAAGGGATGCATGTCTGGAACACAGATACAGAGTCATGATACTGGGAGCTGGGAGTGGAAAAGTGCTGCTGGTTCTCAGTTCTCTGCATAGCAGGGTCTGACTGGAATATATTTCTCTTCAGTGCTTTTCTGATAATGCTGTTTTTTTCGGGACAAGCAATTCAGGTTCTCAGAAGTGTCATAAAATTGACCACACAAATTCTGATTTCATTCCGCCAGCCACCACCTCTTCTTGGTGAGAAAAGCCTTAAGCAACAAGGTAAAGTTTGAAAATTGGAAGTAGTTGTGAAGTACAGGCTACCCAGTGGAGATTGTGCTTGCATTTGTCCTCATTCTAACTTCAAAAGGCTTCAGAACCATGAACAGAGGATGCCACAATTCTTTTTGCAGTGAATCTCAGAAGAGAACAAGTGCAATCTAAATGAGGATCTCAGTGCTCCACTTCAGCCTTCCTCAGCTGAGATTGTTACATCGTAGACTACCTCCGTGAGAACAGTCAGCTGTAAAAGCACAAAAAAGTTAAGTAAACTAGGGATTGCATACACTTAGTGAATCCTTATGGATCTTAATTTAGACAGGACTGCTTTAAGAAAAAACGTTAGCCACAGTTTAATTTGATCTGGCTTGTCTTGAAACCTACCAAGGTGTTGATCTCTCTCTTAAAACCATGCTGATGACAATGACTTCAGGGCATTTACAAGATGACAATTCTAAGCAAGAAAATTAGGAAAGTTGAAATTAAAAAAAAAAAAAAAAGAGATCTAACTTTGAAAAGGTGAAAGGAATTACAAGGTTTATGAAGTCACATATCTGGGATGGAACAATATTAAGCAGCAGTACAGGCTGGGATCTGTCTAGGTCTGATGAAAAAGACCCAGGAGTCTTGGTGGGCAGCAAGTTGACCTTGAGCCAGAGGAATGCCCTGGCAGCACTGAAGGTAAAGACAGGAGTATAATCAGCAGATCAAAGATGTAATTATCTCATTTGGCTTGGCACTTGTTTGGCCATGCCTGGAATACAGCATCCAGCTTTGGTCAACCTGACTCAAGAGAGACAAAAAAATCAGAAGAGGTTCCAGCCAAGGTGCCATCATGATGATCAGAGAGTTGGAGGAAGTGAGCTCATTAGCTCAGAGAGAAGCTCAGATCTAATCACAGACTTACAGTACCTAGAGGTTGCTATAGAGCAGATGAGCTATCTTCACAGAGATGCACGGTGACAGGACAAGAGCCAACAGGCTCCAGTTGTTGCAGGCAAAATTCCATCTGGATATAAGAAAATTGCTCTGGAGTGCAATTAAGCAATGAAGGAGGTTGCCAAGAAGTGGTCGTCTCTCCCTCACTGGAAATATTTGACTTGCCTTGACAGAGCGCTGGATAACCTTATCTCAGGCTTTCAACAGTAGTTGGGCTAGATAAACTCCAGCAATCCCTGCCAGCCTAGACTGTTTCATGACTCAGTGCTAACAGGAGAAAAAAGAAGGAACTCAGAAGACGAGCCCCAGGCTGCTGAAGGACTTTGATATACCAAATAGCACTGACTGAAACTAAGCCTTTGGCAGAACGGAGAGAGAAAGTTGTGAAGAAATGTATTCCTTTCCATTTATGTACAGATCTGCTACATCCTTCAGTGGTAACTGGCTTTAGAAGCCAGAAGTGTCAGGTGCAGTGCCACAATGCTGTCAGCAGTCCTGACACAGTGCATTCTGTATGGCACATCTCGTCTCTCCATAAGCACCAGTAAGCAAGACACATCATGGAGAGTATAGGCAGCCACGGACAGGAACCAGACTGCAGCACCCCTACTTGCTTGTACTTCTGTGGGTAGTGAGACACAGTGCAGTAGTGTCATAAAACTAAGAGATTCCAGTACATTAGTGTAGCACACAAAATTACCAAATTGGAACTTCTCTAAGAAATAAGAATGGTATTTATCTCATATCCTTATTTTGAAGGAGGAAGATATATTACTGGTAGTGAACATCATAAGTCTAATTATGCAGTAGAAACTATAAAGAATGAAATAATGTATCCTTAATTTCTTAAAAAGTATATCTTATAGTTTGGCTTTAATTTGTGATAAAAAGTACAGTAAGAATTGCATTTCAAACATTTTTTATTATAACATCACCACTGTCAGCATTTGATTTCTTAATTTGTTGACCCTACATATTATAGATTTGATGATAAAAGAATGTTACACTAATACTATTTTTTTTTTCCTGGAAGATCATTTAATTACCTGCATGTTTTAGTGTAGTTGCATTATAGAGATAGTAACTTACGTAAGATGCTTCTATCCACTTTAGACAGAGGAGCAGTGTTTTTCTTAAGGAAGAAAGAAGTCATCTAAATTGGATTGTCAGCTTCTCAGGGGATTCTTCTGCTTTGTGTTTAAGCCGTCTTTCTTGACAGGAGGGTATTTTGTTCCAGTCAATAGAGGAAAATTCCATTATAGATCTTGTCATTGCCCGTAGTAAAACAGCATCTTCTGGGTTCTCAAATGGAACTCTGCAAAAAACAAACAAACAAAAACAAACAAACAAACAAACAAAAAGTACATTATCAGAATGTTTTCAAAATACTTTGGACTTATTTTACTAAGTGTGCTTTCCGTAGTTAATGAAGTTAGAAGTCACTTAAGAGTGAGAATTTGAAAACTGTAAATTTTTGGAAGGCTTCCTTCTGTTACCAAATTTTAGAAAGCAAAAGAAAACCTGAAAAGGTCAGCATTCCAAGATTCTAAGGAAAAAAACAAGCAGTAAATTATTTAAATTGTGTTTAAAGCACTGTTGCCCACTTCTATGTTCTGATTCTTACAAATATCCAGTGGAAATCATAAAACTGCGTATGTATGAATTTCATATTGATTTGATATCCATTAACGTAAATTCAAAATTTATTTCAGTGTGTGTCTTTTAAATAGTGACCATGCAAGAATCCAGGGCACTGAATCCAGAAATCTCAGTTGACGTTGTTCCTGTATCCTGCTATTTGTGAGAGAGAAGCGGCAGACTTGCAATATCAATTCCAAATCGACAACCAAAAGTTTAAGCTCAGATAGAAAATTAAATATTAAAACCTGAATTTATAAGAACTTATTCCATAGAGGTGTAGCTCTATGTGACACACGGATGTTAGGAAACTAACATAAACCACGTGACTGTCCCACTGAGTATAGCACACACTGTCAAATATTTGGGTACCTCACAAACTCTAAGTACCTACACAAATAAGATGGAGTGGAAGCTGCACATCCATTGTATCAATGAATGTGCTCCACTGAAAATAGGAAAATCGTTTATAAACATAAAATTGACTGTAAAGTTCTGTACTGAAAATGAATAACTATATAAAAATCAAATTTTTAAAGGAAATCATCATATATAGGATTTTATTATTTCTTTTAATAAATCTGGCACTATTTTCATACGTGAAACTCAAAAGTCTGATATCTTAAGATTTTAAATATCTTATAAAGATAGCATCTAAAGATGTCAACACATTAAAATGTAAACTTTATGCCACCTCAATCCAGGCAGACGTCACAGAAATAAGCTTTTCCATTTATTTCTGATGTTGGAATTTTAACAGAATAAAAGTTAACTACAGACTTAAAACATTTTGTTCTATAGCTCAGTAATGTAGAGAGTACATTCTTCTGAGCAGCCAGCAAGCAAAATGCTGTCTGTGCCACAATACAGAACAGCTATACTGATGCTCTAGTGCTTCAAGCACACTTTTTATAGTTATTGCTATTTGATCTTATAAAACAAACAGTGCTTTTATAAAATAAATAGCATTTTTATACAACTGGAATACCTTTTCATGTCAGAATTAAAACAACAGTGGGTTGGCTGTCTTATCAGAATGATACAGTTTCAACTTTTCAACTGTGTCAAGAAATTTTTACTGTTTTTTTTTCTGAAAAAAACACACACACACCGAAAAAAAAAAAAAAGAAAAAAGAAAAAAAGAAAGAAAGAAGAAACAAACATACAAACCCACAACAAAACCAAGAATGGAAAGCCCAGAGAAACACTTACTTATTTGTGTGATTTCCGAATTCCCAACCTGTAATAAAAAGTTCAAATTAAAACATTAATGCACATGCAGCATTTTGATGAGCTGAGGATTACCATACTGAACACAAATTACTTGCTCAAATGAGCTAAAAATCAGCAGATTTGATACATGCAAAGTCTTTTTTAATTCAGTTACTCACGTTAGACAAACTTTCCCATGCATTCGTTTGTGGGTTTTTTTCATACAAGTACATCCAAAAAGTATTGTGGTTTGCTCTGGATTGCCACATGACAGGGCAGTCACAAGGTTATGGGTACTCACCATGCTGTCTCACAGCAGTAAATGTTTTAAGGACTCTTTAAAAAATGACTTTATATGCTGTTATCAGATGTCATGAAAACATTCTCAGCTTGGAAAGAATAAAAAGGAATCTGCTTACAAAACTAGGCAAGATGTGCAAAATTTACAACAGTAGGAGAAAATATTTTCAAGAGATTATTTTATAAAAGCACTAGAGGGCATCAAAACTCAAGGATGCTGATCACTGAATCAGCATTATGGTGTACTGAAATGCTCTTAAATAAAATTTAAAAAATAACAATGCGATATATGTTGAAAAAATAAAATGCTGTTTGTTCAGCTACCTTAAAGCACTTGTTTAAGTGCAGGGTGTAGCAAGAACTACAGTTGGACTAGATGATTGTAGTGGTCTCTTCTAACCTTTATGATTTTGTGAGTCTATGAACATATTTGTCATAATGCACTCAGTTGAGGATTCATTCATCTGCTGTTCTGAACACTTCTCCTGGCTTCGCAGAGCAGTTTGGTTGAGTTCCCAATGCATTGATATTTTACTACTTCGGACACCAAGTTTTTATTGGATGAACCAAAAGAATTTCAATTGAAATCACCTCCAAATGGTTGCTTTTGCTCTTATGGTTATGAATACCTGGGGGCACCATCAGTCTCCTGTCTGGCCGAGGGCCCCTGCTGTGCCTGATGGCAGTGCCTGGCAGCGTGTCCACTCTCCTTCTGAAAGCAATTGACCCCACAGCGCTGGACCTTTCACAGTAATAGACAGAAAATGCCAACTCCCTTTCTCTTTGTGTAACTGCTGTTAAAAGAGATATAAAAAAATATTTCCTCTATCAACCAAAAAGCCTGGTACTAACTACTTGCATGCAAACTTCATTCTGTGCAGTTTTATAACAACAGTGATGTAAATCTGCATAATTTCACAGAGATTCAGAAGAGGATCACAGAGCGATGCTTGCTACAGCTCTGGGGTACAGCCCTCTCAAAGTATTTCTTTGGATGCAGTAGGATCAGGAGTTTTAAATGAAGAAACTACCAGACAAGGCTCTTTGTTACCATACAAATGAGATCTATTGCAGAAGTCAGTGAAAACTTGGAAGTTTCTTTATGAACAGTGTGAACAAATCCCACTTCAAGGTCAGTTTAATTCCCATTGCTCAATTATGGAGGAAACCAAAGGAGTGCAGTAAAAAGAAAAGCTTCACACTTTCTTGTTTTGTGCTTGATTTCAAAAATAACTTTACATTTTAAAGAAAGATTTTGAGACTGTAAGTTAAATAAGGGATTTTAACTAATGATACGACCTGCATACTAATCTAAAACTTCAGATAGGGAAAAGAAAGAGAGCTGTAGGTTTAGAACCTAACTCCGGCAGAAACATTTAAAATTCAGGGGAGTTTCTAAGTTGTGGTATCTGGGGGACTCATTAGAAAGGAGCTGCAGCGTCCATGTCTGGAGGTAACAAAGTGTGAGCACGTGTCCTGCATAAAGAAGCCAGCCAGGCCAAAGCTGTTGGAATGTTCCACAGATGGAACGTTTTCCATTCAAGATTGAAAGAGGAAATATTTAATTTCACATCACAATCTTTGTAACATTATATAAACAGTTCACTAAATAGAACGCCCAGGGTACAGCTTCATAGAAATTAATGCTCTAAGTCCTGCTCCAGAGCTGAATACAGTATAACTGTATTGAAGACAAGAGTCCATGAAGTTCTGTGGAATTGTTTTTAGAACTGTAAAGGCAGTGTGTAATCCCAGTAGATTTAGCTTCAGACAGCCAAAAGTGACTGTTAATAAAACAGTCTGAATTGCCCCAGACCAAGTACTGAAGAGCCTGGAGGTACACAGGAAAGGTGTTTCACTTTCCAGTATAGGAAATGAATGTACAGCCATTGGCAGATGGCCACGTGGTCAACCCAGAAGCTCAGTAACCCCTAACACAGACCATGCCCATCTGCCAGCTCTCCTTCATGACAGGGCTGCATAACCTGCAGCCAAACAGTTGTCCTGAGGCTGCCTTCTCAATTCCTGTACTGTTTCTCCCACAGGCTCGGAGTAGGTTTCCAAGATGACAGTTTCTCCTCACTGTTTTCCCATGAGGAGAAAGTAAGGTACAAATCAATACCTTTCTCAGCACTTCACAGTAATGTTCAATCCTTCTGTGTATCACATAGCTCACCAAACATCAAAGACACAATCACTAAAGGCTGATTTTCTGGCTCCACTGTGGCTTGTTTATTAAATTGGTTTGTCTTCAATATATTTAATGATACATATCTATATCTGTTCTCAATATAATTCTTTTCTTTTAAGATGACAAGTTGTGAAAGATCTGATGATTTGTGAAGATTTCCATCTGACAACTTGGTCAGCATGGATGTGCGTATATTCTTGAAACGCACAGAAACACACAGATATCTGAGAATATCACACCAAATAGAGGTACATGTTTCTAAATGCAGGCTTATATCTCTTACGCAACAATATATAGACTAACTACAAGATAACCATACACAATTTAAACAGAAAAAGACAGAACTTAACAGCACTGGGTGAACTAAGAAGTTTATGCCAAACAAATCTTTCAAAAATGGTTATAGGCAAAAGTCCTAACAAGCTGATATTAACAAATGTATGTAAGAAAGCAGACAAGAATAATCCACATATTTTTCCAAACTTATTAAAATCAAAAGCAACAGTCAATGCTTTGTGAAAAGAGAAAAATCAATCCTTACGCTTCCTGTCCAGGAGCTGTACTGAGGGGAGGCTGTGTATCACATAGAGACGGTAGCCTGCATCATATGCCAGAGGGTTGTAAAACAGGTCTGCAAAATATATACAAAACAATGCCATCACCAAAACTACAAAGAAAAGTAACAAACTCAGCAAGACAGGAAAATTAAAGAGCACAAGTAGACAAAGATTTTGTAGAAAATATTTTTAACTTCAAATTATTTTTACACTAGGTAAACAAAGCTTGGTTCCTTTATACTCACAAAATCACTCAATTGAAGACAGACTGCAAGGAACTTGCTTATTGCAGAGCATGCAAAATACCACAGGCAAGGTTTAAGGAAAGACATCATTGTGCACTCAGAACCTTTGAAGTCTTTTTTGTATTTTTTTAAGATATACAGACAAAACCACTAAATACTCGCCTTTGATTTCCTTACGTATTTTTGGTGATGCCTACTTTAAATTGTAGCAGTTTTTTTTTTTTTTTTTTTTTTTTTTTTTTTAAGTCTGATGGCTTAATGATAAGACAAAATTTGCAGCAGGAGAGAGTTAATTAAAAAAAGATGAGCTTTAGAACTCCTAAGGTTTTATCAGAGCTGATATCAAGGTTTTATCCCACAGAGGCAATATAAAATAAAAATACTGCATTTTCTGATTTCTCTATGGATTATGAGTTTGAAAAGTGAAAAACTTGAAGATTAAAATGTGTAAAAGGACCTATGCTTCAGGAAACGGAGTGCCACACACTTTCATTAAGTTATAAGGCCCTAAGCTCTAAAAGCCCACTAGTAACTTGACTGAAATACTTACTATGCTCAGGTTCACATTCCCTGAATAACCAAACCTTTGCAACACAGACAAGCATCAGTCCTCTGTTACTGCTTTGGCAAATGTGGAACACCCACCCAACTCGCACGTCAGACTTGGTTTGGTTCATGTGAATGACATCTAAAGTTGATTAAAGTAGAAATTAGCTCATTCCCAGATCAGAAAACAGAGCTATAGAAGTTTGTTTTCTAAATTAAAAACAAAATAAAGCTATTTTTCTCCTTAAAGAAATACTGTTTTTCATCAACAGTACAGAAAAAAAAGTCAGAATACTTTAAGATCACAGCAGGCAAAAAAATAAAGTTAACAATTTTGACAATTTCTACCAAGACCTACAGCGGTCTGTTTAGAAAGAGGCTGTAGCCAATATTTCCTGTAGGACAAAAAAAATCTCCTGGTTTACCTAATCTTAACAGGTAAGGGGGGCAAGGGGAATGGCAAATAATAGCTCTTATATTTCAGAGATACTAAAAGATGAAAAAGATTGAGCAATACTCCACAATGGCTTGTGAACCACAGGATTTCATATTTTGTTCACCAGGCTACATTTGAATTTCACAGAGTACTCAGCATTCAGTGCTACCACCTGAATGTTTGGAGGTTCAATAAGGCTGGAGTGGCAACTGGGATCTCGTATGTGGAAAAACGCCTGCTCAGGTATTCAGAGAACAGAAAATGTTCTAATGTAATGAATTTTCAACAAAACTGCCATATCCTGGAGTAGTAAGCAGCCCACAAGGTGGCAGCAAAAGAAAGTTTTGTGTTTTTACTGCACCCAAGACTATATAGCCATTTTTTTCTAGGAAGCTTTAACCAGAAATAATATCATGTATTTGTCTGATGAGCATGTTCTTGAGTCAAGAAAATACACTGTAGCATTCCACAGAGAAAAACTTCTTAGACCTTCTCTAAAAGCAGGTAAGTTCGTTGTTTTGAGTAGTACTAGAACGATGACTCAAAGAGAGATTTTTCCAAGACAACAGGAGGAGCTGATTCTAAGTTCTGCTGTTTGGAGCATGTTCCTGATTACCAGCACTGATTTTTAACAGTGCACAAATTTTTCTGCTGCTTGATCTTAAAGTAAATCCAGCCCCTATATAGATCAAGATGGTCTTATTTAACAAAACATCTGGAATCGCTTTTTGGCTCTGCTTTCTAGTCAAGATAAGATAATTTTCCTTCTACAAATTAGGATAATGCGGATAATGCTTTCTTCCTCCACAGGTTTGTCTGTTTTCCCAATTCAGAACGTAGGAAAAGAGCATGCCTACCCTATATGGGGTAGAAAGGAACTATTGTGACAGAAACATAGTGAAAGACAAAACAAATTTTTTGAGCAGGAAGATGTTATCAGATGTGGACAATAAATCAGTTGAGGTAATGTGCAGAGTACGCAGAAATCTTGGATTCCAAGAGATGTGAGAACAAGGTAGCCTATAAAGAAACCCTCTGTATCTCCCAAAAGTCTGCAGTTGTGAGCAATCTATCCAGTAAATCTTTAGAAGCTGACTGTCTTCAGTAAATGCATGATGAAAAATGGTGTTATGCTCCAAATCCATAGCAGTGCAATGGCTAAAAATCACAGGAGAGCCGTAAGAAAAAAGAAATGCAACATTTTGGTAGCTGAATATTGCTCCCAAAGTGAACAATAATAGTGTATCACTCTGCCTCATTGTAACAGTTCACAGGAGCTACACAATAATAAAATATTATTATATGTATCCAGAAATTCTACTGATGCTTTGCAAGATTTTTTGAAAATCAAATTTTCCAGTAATAAAATAAATAAATAAATAAATAATAATAATAAAAAAACCTGCCTCACAACAGTGAGGACTTTCCCATGTCCAAAACATTTTTTATTTTATAAAGATGAATTATGGGCACAGGCCTTTCTGAACTCACACAGCTGAAACGCTGCACTCACTTCCCAGTTCTGAATACTGCAAGCAGGCAAGTAGATGCTATAGTAATATTTTGATAGAAATCACTTTTAAAATGCATTTTGTTCATTTATTGCTGACCTGTACTTCAAATGTGATGAGGCATTTCGTTAAACTAATTGACTCCTGGTAATTTGGAAACTCCTTTATATTAAATTTCTTTAAAATAAAGGCATTGAAGTTTTGTTTTTGTTTTTTTTGGTTTTTTTTTTTTTTTAAAAAAAAAAAAAAAAGGACTGTAAAGGTTAGCAGGGAATGACCGTAAAGTAGAATATTACATTTCTCCTACTGATTTACTGTCATATCTTTGAACTGAAGAGCCTTTTTAAAAAAGTTATTTTAAATAATTGCTTTTCTATAATGGTGGCCAGTCCAGTTTTCACAGAGTTTTTGTGAACGTCACTCATGATGACTCAGCAGCACTATAACTACCTGCTATTTCTCTCAATTTCCCACAGATAACTGCAACAAGCACAAACTCCCTGTGCTTTCTGAAGCTCCATATTAATTGGTAGAGCTATAACATTAAATTCAAGTGACAGCACCATTCATACATATGATGTCTGAATCTGTCCAGGCTTTGTCTAATCACTTCAAACAACTGCATTCTTATGTGCGCTATTTTTCATTCTTGCACATAATGAAAAAAAAAATTTTTGCCAGCACATTGTCTTCCTAAACACTTGATTTGTTTGTGAATTTCAGACCAACATAAAGTTCAATTAAAATTGTACTTTGCAAGCCATTTTTTCCTTTCCTGTGATCAAGACAGTCAATTTGTGAATGCTTAAGGAGGTATGGTTTGATGATATTCACCTTTGGTGATCGTGATAGCGAGACAAGAAACTTGTTTCCTGTGTTCTCAATGTACCGACAGGTCATGCCAATCTATGACAACATTCTCTCAGGAACCACGCACAAAGACTGCCTATACTTCCAATAGCTTAATAGCATTGAATTCTACTTTCCTGCAGGCTGCTAGCTTAGTGGTGCCAGCACCATCTTGTATAATTTAATTTGAAACTTCATTCCCATCTAGTATACCAAAATCATGCCACTTTGATACTATTTGTTATAACAGAGTATGTTTATTCTTAGGCTCTAAAAGCCTATATTTTCTGCATCTTTCTGGGCAGATCCTAAGTTCCACAAGGAATATGATTAACAAGACAGGAATTTGTGTTCTATAACCTATAATCTTCCCTGCACTCTCAAGAACAGTGACACTAGTTTCTCATCTCCCATCACCTCTGTGATAATATCAACACTCTCCCATTTCCCCTTACAAACAGGGAGCAGCACATGGCTTTAACTGCCTTCAAGCTACTTAAGCAAAAGACTGGTTAGCCAGCAGCCAAAAGCTTAGTAGCAGTAGTCTCTACAGAATTTCCATGTGTTACAGGTCACTTCCGTCAAATTAGGTTGAAATTGATAATTAGCTTCAGAAGCTATTGGCAAATGATACACAAACAGACAAGAAACATATCCTGGTAAGATATTCTTAAGAACTACTGCTCACTGTTCTGCAAAACAAAAATAAGGTATTACTTAGGGTCCGCAAGCTTATTATTCCTTTTAATTCCTTCACCGTTTCACCAAGGTGTTTTAACTGGTTGTTGTGAAGCAACAGAATCTGTAATGAATGCAAGTTTTTCAGAGCACCTGAAATGAAAAATAATTATTCTCATTATATTTCATTGCATTTATCTAGATAATTATTTTGTCACATTGCACACTGAATTTCACGTTCTTGTTATATACCCAGGTCTACATTTTTAAAGCACCCTCCATGAGAATAATAATAATAAAAAAAAAATCTATCAGAGATTTTAATATCCCTGTTGCATTCCTGGTCATACTGTTTGAATGCAACGCACTTTTATTTTGACCCTAGTTCTTTTCATTTCTCTTAATCTTTCTTGACCCAAAACATCTGTACCAGCTCCCTTCTTCATCCCTTCCTTTCTCCTTGTACAATTAAGAAAAATACAGCTAGAAGAGCAGCATGGTTAGGATAGCATTTTACAGTTAGAAAGATTATTGTGATAGAAAAAAAAAAAAAAAACAAAAATGAAATACTCACCTATATCCTAGACTTACAGTAGAAAACTCCAAAAGGAACAATCTCCAGAAGGAGATCTTTCCCTAGTGGCAGTCAGCCCTTAAATGGGGTCTAGGAGAGGTGCAGCCAGGCTCCACCCTTTCCAATCATACAGGTGAATTGCCTTCACCTGTGCTCCCATGGCTAGCTCAGTCCTCACTTCAGGTGATCAATCAGTGGTTCAGGCCATGACCCAACAGTTCCCATAGACTTCTATACCCCAGCAATCTTTAACTCCACTTCCTTTTATCCTTACCTAACATTGCCTTTGCCTTTCAAGCAATTCATAGATTATATCTATAGAAAGTAGTTCCATTTCAAGTTATTATTAATGTATTAAGAAGTTATTCCAAGCACTGTTGTAGCTGACCCAAACTACATGTTCACATTGTTGTACCACAACTGGTTTCAATAGCTCATTTTCCAATTTCTACAGTTTTTCTCATCCACATTTCTCTGCTAATGACACTCACACTTTGTTAAACCCCTACTTTGGTGTCTACTGCAACATCTCTTCTGCCTGAATATTTTTCTTTCAAACATTCATTTTTCCACAAGATCTCAAAGAAACTAATCAACACAATTTCTCATTTTAATATTTTATAGGAACTGATAAAAGTAAAATATTAATATTTCAAACATCTAAAATCCACAAATGTATTAATATGCTTTGGCCTCTTCATTCAGAAATTCAGTGGCATGGCACAACTACCTTAATCTACAAGAGCAAGCTAAATATATACAGATATATAAGTAAAAAATGGAACTTTACAATAAAAATGTTTTTCTGCAAAACACTTCTGATTAAAAGCGTTACTACATAATGAAGAAAGCACAGGAAATGAGACAACTTATTAATTAATTCTCTTTCATTTTCATGCTAAATCTATCAGCACTACAGTTTTTCATCGTGTAAATATGAATGGCTCCCAGGAGATTCTTCTATCTGCTTCTGCAATGTCTGGTCAGCAAGAGGACTGCAAATAATCCGATAGAAAAACAACTTCAAATGTTCATTTAGAATATAAGATATGGTCATGCTGGATTCAAAATATTTTGCAATTGCCTGATATTAAAGTGTATGATATTTCATTACCCTCGAATCAGCATAAGCTTGATGTGAACTCGCAGTTTACTGCCACTCAAGTATACTGGAACAAATCAAATCCCTAAGAAAATAATTAACATTTACACAGATATGTGAGCTTTCAACCATTAAGTTACTGGCTGTCATTCACTGCTATATATTTGAATGCCAATACACAAAAAAGAAAGTACAGCTGAGCAGTCTGAAAAGGGAAGATTGATACCTGATATATCTGTGAGTTCATTGTTGTTGAGGTAGAGCTCAGTCAAACAGTAGTTTTTCTCCAAGAAACTTAAATCTTGGATCTGAAATTAGAGTTAGAAAAACTATCATGTAACAATATAAATTTAACGTTAGAGAACACAGTCTTTTAAAAACTGTTTTCTTATAGTAAGTATTTAATCTTGCAGTCTATGAATGGGGGTGCCAATCTGGCCCTTGAAACAGCTGAGAGCATTAATGTTGCACAGCTGATTATCCTTACAGTTTAAACACAAGGACCACAAATAGAATTTGATTTCTGTAATGTAATTTGCTAGTGATTTTAGATCTTGAATTATATCTGCCTTTAAGACAAATGTGTTTTGCTCTATGTATTTTCTTAAAGTTGAAAGGAAGAGACAAAGTAAGTTTTCCTGTAGGAAATTAAAAGTTACTTTAAGATTCAGAAAAACATGGTTGAGTGAAAATAGCACTCTGAAAACAGTCACATACTTTGCAGTGATTATTGTACCTTTTCTAGTGTGGTTATGCACACACACACACCTGTAATACAGCATGGTATTTCTCCATCTTTGTCATATTCATAGTCAACAGGCCATTTCTCCTTACTCTTTAGTGCCTTTTAGAAGTAAAATGGAAAGCCCTATACTGTGATTTTAGTTCAACCTCTTAGCATATCCATAGTTATGCTTTTCTTTGAGAACAGTTGGATAACCACAGGTCTTTCAATAAAATTGACATAAGATGCTATATAATTGATGTTAGCCTGGGGCAGTAGATACGCATATACTCCTCAATTACATGGAATGTAAATTTATTTTTTTCTCTCCTCACGGAGCTACTTATTGACCTGAGCGAGCATTTCTGGTGTTTTAAGAATTCATATCCTTTGTGAAAGTCATGTAAATTACTGTATAGTAAGGTATTTAAAAGCAGGTTAGAAAATAGTGTCTTTTATAAATTTCCCCTTCTTAGTAAGGTTTGGATTCACTAAGACACTTGGTAATTGTTGGCTAAATATTTGCAGATTTCTAAATCACATAATCCTCCTAATCTAAGTAGCTGATTTTCTCTAAAATACAACATGCTCAGACTTGGTTGAAAACTGTAGTGTTAGGCTATTTTTACAGAGCATCATCTTAGAACTCATACAGGACATTGTAAATATGATCATCTAGACTGAAACAGGTGGAGCAAGTGCAGCACATGGCTTGTGGAATTGTTTTAATGTCCACTTAATGTGGACATTGTCATACTAAACACTCTCCTGGGAATGTCCCTTAATTCAAACATATTTAGGTGACATTACAGCTTTATTACATTACCTTATTGTTGTTAATCCACAAATACCTCAACCTACGAAACAGTGACAGACTTGGAATACTTCTTAGTCCTCTAGAGGAAGAAAATAAAGTGGTGCTTAATCACTTCATAAGCAGTTTGATTTCTGGTAACTAATATTATGTGAGCACTAAAAAGCAACAATTCTGTGGAAAACATAGCAAAAAGACAGTACAATTGCATGATAAACATGTAAAAGCATAACAGAACAGCAAAAGGTAAAGAAATGGTAAAGAAAACTCAGTTATACATTAATTTATTCTTCCATAAAAGCATATAATTTTCAGTGAGTACAACATTTCATCTACTTTGCAGATGGTGGAAATTCTATTGAGAACACAGAAGGAGGATTTTTGCATTCTGAAGAACACAAACATACAAGGAAAAATGTTGTGAAAGCACAGTATGGATTCTTTGGCCATGGTGCCAGAGATGCTAAGAGCAGGCAGACAACAAGCACATCGATGTCAATTTCTTATATTTTGTATTAATGCATGTTGTGAAATCTTTTGCCCTTCTTCAACATTTTTCTTGTATAAACTTAGTATTCATATTCATTAGCAGTCTTGTTTTAAATGAATACCTTGACTGAGGTTGGATCTCTCTCCCACGTGCTTGTAGGGATTTCAATTTAATTGTGTACCTTGCACTTGGAAGCTGAGCTTGCTGGTGTGCTCTAAATAACAAATTACCTACTAACCAGTGAATATGGGTGAGCCGTTGAGTAATTTTCACTAATTGTTGCTGTTTTTCACTGCTTTAAATAAACGTTCTTGATTTCCTCTCAATAATTGTAGATGACCTTTACAATTTTAATTGATATAATAAAATTTTCATGTCAGTTTTGAACATTCTGCATGACCAGGGCCAGTGTTTCAGAAAGAATTAACTGGATTGGTAGGAATTAAACTCACACCATCAGCCTAATCTGCTCTGCTTGTGTTCCAGCTGTGAAGCCAAGTCCCTCTTCCCATTTGTTTTGTGTTTTTTCTCCAGGAACCCTTCCAGATACCAGGGAGTGGGTACCTTTCTATCTTGCATTTGGAAAAAAAAAAAAAAAAATACCAGGAGCAAACACCACAAAATTGATGTGCTGTATTTTAATTGATGCATTTCTGAGTATGAGCTTATCCCAAGCAGCTACTCTGTTCAACTGGTTATTTGGTCTCCTCAAATCATCCCTAAAAACTAAGCCTGCAAGTATGTATTTATTTTGTTGCCACAAGCAAATACATTTCTGCAGGTAACAAAGATAAGTGCATGGGAGCTGACGGGAAACGCAGAGAGATTTTTCTTTTTTTTTTTTTTTTTTTTTCAGTAGACTTTTACCTGCATACTGCCAAATTATGTTTCAGATAGCAAAACCAAAATTTCCCAATATTCTGTCACTGCCATTCTACACAGGTTTACATTTTAATTGGCTTTACTCCATTGTAACAGCCAAGATGAGGCTGTCTATCTCCAAGTCCTAATCTGTTGTGTTTTTTTTCTTTGCAGTATTAAGGCATTTAATTTGCCCCAGGGAAAGCTTAATTCCTCTAACATTTTAGAGGAGCATGTCCCTTTCTGTATGCCTTCCAGGCTTTGCATGTCTCTTACAAACTGATACTTTCTGGCCTCCAGCCTTCTTATCCTACCTACTGCTAAGTTAATCAGTTTTCCTAGGATGACAGCTTTCAGTGACCAAATGTACACTTTTTCACATGCCTTTAACAGTAGTGGTTTAAAAGTAAAATTTGATTCCCTCTAATTTGATTGACTTTATTTTTATTTTTTTTAATTTTTTTCCTACTTTAGCCAGTAGAAAATTATGTCAAATTAACACTTAAGAAAGCATATTCTGATACTGAGATTGGCTGAGGTTCAAGGTAATTTGGGATAGAATAAAAGAAAATTGGTTCTCTTCAATCATCAAAGAAACAAGCTTGCATCACCTTTCTCAAAATGGTTTCATGGGAAGACAGATCACCTCTATATCTGCCTTCTGATTGTTTCTCTTTATTCTTTTATTCTTTCTTTATTCCATAGCAAGGAGTATTTCAAAGCCAGCGAGAATATACTTGTAAGTATTTAACATCAGAAAATACACTTATTAAGACTGTACACACTATTTCAGTATGTAAATATCTTACTTACTAAGATTTTCAATGCTTTCTTCTTTCTAAAATAAATGTTATAACAATTTAACAGTGACCAGATGTTTCATACTTTCTTTCCACAGAGTCTTGAATTCCTTCCTGGTGTTAATCAGATGTGCTAAGGGGATACACTGAGACTTTCAAGGCCACCTAATTTCCATGAAAAGCAAACTAAATAATCCTCAAATCCCCTAACACCTGTTTTTTGTTTTTTGGTTCTTTTTTGGTTTTGTTTGTTTGTTTGTTTTTTGCATTCATAGGACTTAAAGACCTTGAAGGCCTTGTGCCTGAATTATTACACTATGTTAGTTCTTTACACTATATCAACAGAACAAACTCTAGACAGAGTTGTGAGGCTGCAGACAGGTATGCAACACTTGGAATTGTGCCCTGGCCAGAAATTCAAAGTATGCTTTTCAAAAACTTGGAAGTTTGTCCTGTCATGTATCCATCTCTCTCTGGTAGCCTCTCAGCATGTTCACGCCACAGCTCTATCAACCCAGATCACCCACAGGTTCATGAAAGCTTTGCCTTCATTCCCTTTGCATGGTTTCTTCTCCTCATCTGCCCCATCTCTTCAGCTGCTTCACAAGCTCCCAGAGATCAGTTCTCTGATCAGTGCTCCCTGCCTCAAACAGCTCCTGTACTCACTTCATGTTGCTCTGCCCTCTCTTCAGTTCTTAACAGCCAAGATGCAAGTAATATCAAAGGTGTTACCATTCAGTTTTGCTATTGCAACAACAGATTTCTTCAGGGAGGTCAGAAATTTGGCAGTTCTCAGACTGGGCAGGTCCTGTGTTCTTTCATTTGCTGTTTTGATACTCTTTCCACCCAGACTTACAAGCCAGTTAGAACAGGTAGAGATCAGCCCATTAAGCTTCATGTCTCTGTTCCCAGTGGTAGAAGTTCATGCAAAACTCTGTGAACTTACAGACCCTCAAGCAATGCTGGGTTGCTAAGAAGGACTGCGTGCCTAGGGCTGAAGCATTTAACTGCTTCACAGCTCTTGCAGCTCTGCTCCCTGCGTCCCTATATTTCTTTGCCATTTCTTTTTGCACAACATGCACAGACTAGGTATAAAGATGGTATTTCACATATAAATGATGTTCAGGGACTGTTACAGAAAGCACAATGGTTAGCATGTATACTGTGTGTTCTAGTAAAAGTCTGAGAAACATTCTACTTACTGTCTAGCCAGATACAACACCAAGACATCCACATTCCTCTTGAAGCCACAGATCTTCAGCTGTTTCTCTACTGCCTGACAGTACACAGTACATTTTTAAGCACAAGATCCTGCATAAGTCATTACATTGTAACACATACATATTCAGACTCTAAATTAATACACACGCCAAAGTTAACATGAATCATGGCCCCTCACAAACTATAGCAAAATAAAAAACAAAGAGATATTAAATTAATAGTTTCTACTTTAAACTGATAAAAAAAGACATCAACAATTATGTTACACTCACTCTGGATTTTTGTGGGTTTTTTAGTATTTTTTTTCCTGTTGAGAATCATAGTTCATAGATATGAGATGGTTATTCAAAGAAGAGGCTCCTCAGTTCATGTCAGGCAAACTGCACAGCTGACCACCAGGAGAACAACTTAACTTGCAATACATTTGCAGATTTATTTTATGCATATGATTTTTTAAAATTATGCATTAGAAAACTCTGTATACTGAACTTTGAAAAATGTAGAAGTAAATGAAATGTTCAGAGCATATTAGTGATATGCCATAATTTGTAAAGGCAATTCTTTCAACATGAGTATTAGAGATCTCAGTTACAGCAATTAATAAAGTAAGATGTCTCCACAGAACAACATGGGGTTAGTAAATGACGTACTACGCCCAGCATCAGTAAGATCATTTTTGCTTACACAAAATTGCAAACTGTTGAGCTTATTTAGTTTGGATAAGAGAAGGTCCCTGGGAGATCTCCCTGCAGCCTTCCAGTACTTGAGGGGAACTTACAATCAGGAAGGGGAGTGGTTTTTTTACACGGTCTAATAGCAATAGGACAAGGGGGAATGGTTTTAAAGTAAAAGAGGGGAGATTTAGGTTATATGTTAGGAAGTAATTCTTTACTCAGACAGTGAGAAGGACTTGGCACAGACTGCCCAGCGAGGTTGTGGATGCCCCATCTCTGGAGGAGTTCAAGGCCAGGTTGGATGGGACCCTGGGCAGCCTATCTAGTAAGTGGCAACCCTGCCCATGGCAGAAGGTTGGAGCTTTGAGGTCCCTTCCAACCCAAGCCATTCTGTGATTCTATGACTCTATGAAATATTTTTGCAAATACAAAACAGCTTCCAAGAACTGATGGTATGATTGGAGCAGCCTGTACTAGCTGCATGATGAGTCCGTGCAGTGTGTTCTGGAGCATAAGATAGCTTTGGGTGCAAACATAAGTGCATGAAACCTGTGGTACTTTCCCAGGGGATCCAGCAGGGCCTATGGTGCATACTGACTCAGCACAGCCGGCTGACATGGCCGGACATGGCCATTTGTCCAAAACCTGATATGGCTGCAGCGTGATTGCAGCTGTCAGGCAGGGAAAGTCCTGGACAAATGGCCCACACAGTCTGCCAATGGAAAAGGAAAAGCTGCCTGGAGGAAGGCAGCTGTACATCAGTGCCAGGAACACCACTGCCTGTTCCTGGGGAAAGCAAAGGGGAGCAGCTGCCAGGCGCGCAGACGGGAGCACTCCTACCTCCAAAATGGAACCCCCAGCTCAACAGCCGTGCTTAAGGGAAAGGGCAGTGCCCGAAGGCAGCCGCTCTTCCGAGCACTAGCTGAGCTTTCCCCTTCTCCTTCCCCAGCCGGGCCCCGGCCCTCTGCCACGCCGTCCCAGCGAAGCTCCCAGCTCGACCGCGGCACACCGCCACCCGCAACGCGCTGCCGAGCTAACTCCCTTCCTGCCTCCGCGCCGCCGCCCCAGCAGAGCGGAGGGGCGAGGCGAGAGGGCTATGGCGGCGGGCGGCTCCGAGGGGCCGCGCCGGGGGCGGCAGCGGCGATGCCGTCCGCTGCGGCTGCGGGCGCCGCTGGCAGACGGGAGCGCCGCGGCTCCGCTCACCTGCCTGCCGGCAGCGTCGGCAGCCGCCGCCATTTTAGAGTCGCGTTCCTAGGCGACCGGAGCGAGGGAAGGGGCGCCCGGAGCAATGTTTATGACATCCACATGTGCAAGCAATTGTTGCCGTGTTGTTATTTTAAAAACCATTTTATGCACAGCACAAGCTGAAGAATAGAAAAAGCTTTTTCCAGGGTGCGTGTGTGTGCTGATGTGCGTGTAGGACAATGGAAAACGTTTGATTGAACTACAAAATAAAAAAGTCTGAAAACATGGAGCTTTATTTAGACATAAAGACATTTAGACATAATAACAGAGAACACTCCAATTAGCAGAAATAGCCACTGTAAATTACGTGCAACTGATAGACAAAGAGCAAGAGCTGCGTGCGCAAGTATACGGATAAGCTGTCCCTCATGGAATTAATTATGTGCGTGCCTTTGCTTGTTCAGACCGCTGAAATGACATCGATGGAGTGTGAATGATGGAGGAATGGAGCTGCAGTGCAAGTATTATATTGCAAATATCTCATTTTCATAGAAAAATGGTGTGGGTGGCTTCCATTTCAGCTAGTTAGATTTAAAAAGTAGCAACCTCAAATAAGAAAGGCTTGACATCTTAAAGGTAGAAAACTGGCAACAGAAATGTCTTTAATCACTTATTTTAACTCCTAAAAATATCCCTCGGGTGTTAACAAAAAAAGAAGAGGAAATGTGCTGGAGATGTAGAAACTTGTACACAGATCTGTAGTTCTTGTGTTGCATTGGAATCTTTGGATTTTGGAAGGTGAGGCGGTTATTTATTAACGAAAAAGTCAACCTTAATATTAACATTGTTTTATCAAGTAGCCAGATCTAAATTTGCTTGTCACACCATGTTTAGGTATGAAGAGCAAGGGAACCTCCAGGAGGTATTTTGTTGCATTCCAGTGTGACATCCATTGGCTGAGGTTTGTTTTCATTTCTTCTGTTGAGATGCTTCTCATTATTAATAACTGATTGGTACTTAGTCTGGATACCTACATGTATAAAACTAAGTATGCCCAAATGTATGAAGTTTGTTTAAAGTTAATCTTTTTTATTTTTCCTTCTGCCTATTGACACCTAAAATCTCCACTATGTTTAAAGAAATTTGGGTGGAAAATTTTTGGATTCAGATTGAGCTATCAGCATACTTTCTGCTACCACATGTTGTTCTTTCCCGAAACATATGACCTATAACCTATTTAATCTTACTCCTGGATGGCTGTGCATAAAATGAATAGATGATCACTTACTCTTCTGGATATTCACAGTAATGACTGACTTACTATACACATTTTGCCAAAAAATCCCCGTTATATTTCTATGCTAAAAATACTTTATTTGCTTATATGCAGGTGTAGAGTCACAACAAGACAATGTGATCTTACAGATATGATAACAGAACATGAAAAGAGGGAAAGCACGCATCTTGTTTTCACTGGCAAAGGTGGTAGGCCAGCTCTGGAAATTGTTCATTTTATGAACCACCCAAACTGCAGGTACTGCAGTTCATCTGACCCACAGAGTTACACTGTGTGTTCCCTGAGGTATCTCAGAGGCGTTATTGGGTACATAAATATGACTGTGATTCAAGCCCACGCCATGGCTAAGGGGGATTGCCATTGCATTGCTGTAGAGACCACATTACAGAAACATGTTTGCTTTGGATAATGAAGTTCAGGTTAAACATGGTTTAGAACGAAACCCATTTCTATATATATCGCTGCAACCCTGCATATGGGCTTTGACGTCCCCTAATCCAGTTTCCCACATTCTCCATCTTGTCTGGGGAAGATGCAGTGGAGAGAGTATTAAATGATAAAGGACATTCATCCCAGGAGCTGGGGAGGGAAAAGACTTCTTCCCAGAGCTCAGATAGTTTCCAAGACTACTTCCTTCCTGCAAATGAAAACAATCTCTGCCCTGCTTTCAAGTAGTGGGGAGGGGAACTCTACCAAGTTCAGCCTTAGTGAGTGAGTCTGATTTCCAGACTGACAGCATATGCACCAGTGTCATGTAACCTCAATGGTTTTGGAGATGGTGTAGGTTACAAAATGTAGTAAGGTTTAGCCTAATTAGCCCGCAAGAGATGGTCCCAAACTCTCACTTTACCAGTAACTATGGAAGTATTTTGATTTTCTTTCTCAATTCATGGCATTTACTTAATTCTGCTTGCATCTAGAGTATGCCAGGTATTCTCCAAATAAAGAAAAGACAACATGCTTTCTGGAAGTGACCATGATAAGTTTCTTTAGGAATTCTATTTCAGCTACCAAATTCACCAGCCACCTTTTTTTCCTTCTCAATACAGCAAGAAGAAAAAGCTATATTTTGGTACATAATGTGGATAGAAATGTAGTGCTGTTGTCTAAATCTAAAGTTTTGGGTTTATCAGGATTCTGACAAAACTAAATGCTTTATGATGAAAAACTGTTAAAACAAGAATTATGCATGATGTCTTCTTATGGAAATCCTACTATTTGTGAGTTGAATATACTGAAAAAAAACATGGGTTTTTTTTTGTTTGTTTTTTTTGATCTTATGCTATGTCCCTGTAAAACTTACAGTACAGTGGGAATTGTTAATATGTACAGCAAACAAAGAGAGAATCTTATACCAAACACTCGTCTTTTCTAGCAATAAAACAGCAGGCTCTCTAACATTTCTGTCTCCAAAAGCCGAAACATTCTTCTTCATGGTGTGATTTACATAGCCAACATGTAAGTTTTGGAGCTGAAGTGTTACCTAAATCTAGCTACTTCGCAATTACTGCTTGGTAGAGATAGATATTACATGGATTATAGAAAAGATTCTTATGTCTTTGCTTGAGCTTAATTATTCCACCAGAGAACAAGCTATGCTGCCATCCTATTTTTTTTCCCCAAATTATTTGTTTTAATGGCCTGTAGTCACTCGAATGACCCTGTCATATGCTTCAGAGAGATTATTCCCAAGATTATTCATGAGATTATTCCCAAGCTGGATTATCAGTTATCTGCACCAGACATGCCATGGTAAGTGAAATTAGTTCACTGTAAGAGATTACCTGTGCCAGGAAACCTCATTCTTCATGAGGTTCATCTAGCAGGTAACACTCAAATATTTACTAAATGATGGACTAAGCCATTCAGTTTTTTTAGTTCTGATTTTGATAGTGTATTGAAAAGCTGAGAGCAGAATGCAACTTTGTAATTTAACGTACTGTTCAGTAGGTATGAAAGATGCAAAATGCAAATAACAGTGTCTGGTAAATAACATTTTAAATTGCCAAAGCATAAAATATTCAAAATTTATTTTTTTTATGCCTGCCATATTATTAGATAATGCTCTGTATTTTTCAGGTTTTATTTTCAGTTTCTGTATAATTTTACAGGTCTACGTATGTTGTGGTCTACATTCTACATAGGTCTACATTCCTATACTCATTATACTAGCAAGATTTTTTTTTATAAATAGAATTTAGTGGAATGTTTATAAGTAAAATCTATTTAGGTTTTCACATAAGTAACTTAACATATTTGCATGCTAGTCTCATCTTTGTAGTCTTGACCTCTGATTTAATTATGTTTCATTACATCTTCCTGATGAAGCTGCCTTTTTACAAATGTATCTTAGTGTAAAAATAAATACTGAAGAATAAAACAGTGAGATTGCACTCACCACTTTTAAAAAGAAATCAGTGCAACATAAATCATTATATCACAGTGCTTGCACAGTTCTTTCATTTATTATCATCTACAATTAAATACTTATTATCAAAGGTACTATGGTGTATGGCTTTTTCACAAAATATATTTTTTAAAATTGCACCTGCATTTTATAGAATCTAGTAATTTTTGTTGGAAGGATCTTGAGTTCATATAATCCAACTCCCCAGTCAAAGCAGATCCTATTATTTACTTTCAATCCTATGTTTGTACAGTTCTGCATGTTAACCGAACATCCATAAACAATAAGAAAATTATCTGCAATTTAGTAATTGGTACAAATTTTAAATTGTCCATGTTACAGCAATGCTATGCACAGACTATTATGCAATTAAATCGCTTTTGAGGTTGTAAAAAAAAGTCACTTGAAAAGGTGTGAAGTAAATTCAATATCTTGTAGATTAATGCATATTTCCTTTTTTCTTCTTGTTACCGGAAATATTTTATCAGTGTTTATCAGGTGAAACCTGGAAGACTGAGGAAAGATCAGTAGGATATCCCACCTGCATTCCAGCTATAGCTCCAGAAAAGCACAGGTCTCCCACAAGCCCAGTAGCTGCAAGCCCCATGCAGATGTTTCAGATACTCCACACTAAAGCATTCAGGCATTTGTGTGATTTGAATCACACTATTAATCTTATTGATAGCACTGATGATATCTCAGTGACCTTAACAACTTCAGAAGCAGAACTGTGGGAGAACAATTATTTTTCAATAAATACTAAGAGCTTGACCCTATTTTTAAAAAGTTAACAGAAACATGGTATTATCCCAGGTTGGAAGGGATCCACAAAGATCACTGAGTCCAACTCCTAAGCTCACACAGGACCACCCAAAAATCAGATGATGTGTCTGAGAGCACTGTCCAGATGCTTCTTGAACTCTGGCAGTTTGGCACCATGACCACTGCCCTGGGAGCCTGTTCCAGTGCCTGACCACCCCCAGTGAAAGACCTTTTCCAGATATCTGACATCACTTTCCCCATGCCGTTTCCTCAGGTTGCTGTCACCAGAGAGCAGAGATCAGCACTGCTCCTCCACTCTCCTCTTGAGGAGCTGTAGCTGCCATGAGGTCTCTCCTCAGCATCCTCTTCTCTGGGCTGAACAATCCAAAGGACTTCAGCTGCTCCTCTTATGTCTTCTCCTCTAGACCCTTCTTTGTAGCCCTCCCTTTTGTACTGTGGTACCCAAAGCTGCACACCATATTCAAGGTGAGTACCAGTGCAGTGTAGGGTGGTACAATCCCTTCCTTCAGCCTCCTATCCATGCCTTCCATGATGCACCACAGGATACAGTTGACCTTCCTGGCTGCCTGGAAGCACTGTTGACTGATTGCTCAACGTGCTGCCAAT